TTTCAAGTGGGTTTAGGGGGAGTTTGGGTTCGCAATTGATGCCCAACCTGCTCATCTTCTACAACTTGTGTCATTTGACCCCACTCTTTTCCACATTTTTGCAATCTTATCCCTACACAATAAAGCTTGCAATTTTAAACTTTTTCAATTAAGTAAAAAAATGCAAATAATTCTATTTAATCTTAATTTTCCTTTGACAAATTTTTTGAATTAATTTCCCACCTCAAATTAAAGCACAAATATTTAAAAATTTGTCATTTAAAACATAAAAATTTGTGAGAAATTTATACCTTAGAAAAAATTGAGATTTTGCCAAAAGTATTAAAAAAGGCATGACAAAAATCAAGTTATGACAATTACTAGATGAGGGTTTTCTAATAATTTTGAATTAATTGTTACAACATTTGTTGTAAAAAATGTGATTTGCAATGAATTTTTTTTTTTTGGAGTAAGGTGGTTTGTGATATTTTTTTATATCTTGACTGCACAATAAGGCACAACTTTGTTAATCACTCCACTTACATACTATGCAAGTCAAATTTAGAATCTATTCTATTAAAATTACTACTGAGTGATGATTTTAGTTGTTGTTAAAACATTTATTCCAAAAAAAAAAGAAGGTTGTTTGTAAAATAGACTTTGGTTACAGTATCATTTAATGTGAAAATATTGATTATCACAACAATTAATTTCGTTATAATATTATTTTAAAACAAAAAAATGTAATGCAATCTGAACTATATCAAATTACATTCTATTAACTGTTAGATGGAAGTGAGTCCCTTGATATTGGGAGTTCCCCTCCCACCAATGGTTTTTGTTTTATAGTTTGGTACAATTACAAGATTCCCATTTTGAAAACAATAGGGATTTTTTAACCTATAGTGCATAGTGAGCATTAAATAGACCATCAAAACCTTATTAAAGTAATATTCTATTATGGATTTAGTGGCTGTTTTAATTGTGGGTTATCTACTTTTTATTAAGACTGAAATGCTCTCATTTACTTCTACTATGCAGACTTTTTTTTTTATTTTTTCTTATCCCTCCTTCTCCGTTTGCCTTCTTCTCTCTCTTGCTGTCCCAATGTTTCCCGATTGAAATCATTCTCTTATAGTAAGACATCAAAATCAATTTACATTGCAACTCAAAGCACAAAAATTGAAGAACACGGTGTGTTAATAGAAAAATCCCATCAAGAGGAGAACAAGGCATTAAAGGATATGGTGGAGTATAAGTGTGAGAAAAAGCTAGCAAAGGGAATAACGAAAGATTGGAGAATTAAAAATGCAAAGTCGCTTTTTCAAAAATCAGTCAAGTTGCTAATTGAATTCAAGATTCCAACCATAATTGAGGATTTAAGAAGAAGTAGAGCTAGGGGTGGGCACGGTTTTGATTAACCGACCAAAAACTGAATACTGAACTGACGTCGGTCGGTGATTTTACCGAAATTTTGTGTTCGGGCCGAAGAGGCGTGGTTTCGGTTTAAACCTGAATTCTAGTTGGGCGGGGTTCAGTTGTGAGGCCCAAAAAATGACGCCCGATTAAAGCCTCCTACGAAACTGAAAAAATTGAGGCCCAAAATGCCTTTTTTTCAAGCCCAATTATTTTAGGATTTTTGAAGCTTGGGCAGGATATTTCCCAGATTCCTTCTTAAAGTCCTAATTAATTGGGATTTGTTTGGCTTGGGCGGGATTCTTTCACAATTTCCCTTTTAATTAATCGGAAATTTTTTTCAGTTTCCCACAGAATATATTTTTAATATTTTTTTACTAAATTAATTTGGATTTTTTAAAGTCTCCTATACTTAAGAAAAATACTTATTGTTTTGCTTAATTTTTTTTTTCAATTTATACTAAAACCAATATGAAAAGACTTAAATGATCCAGTCACTGAACCAATAAAACTGACTTTTTTTTATAGTTTGGCGATTGCTTCACTCTTTTTTCTAACAGAATTATCTATTAATTGTTCATGTTAATCAGTTCAATAAATAAACCGATCGATGCCCAACACTAATTACAGCACTTGCTCGGCATATCCAGTGGCATAGCGGTAAATGCTTTTGTAGAGTCAAATTAGAGGTTCTCAGGTTCTCTTCCATTTTTAAAATAGTTAGAAAATCCCTCTTCTTGCAACAATTAATATAGTTGCTAATTGCATCTTTTTGCAACAATATTGCCAAGAGCATAGTTAGATTAGATATTTATAGCTATGTTAAATATAATTATATTTTTTTGTTCGTATGTATATGCCTTGGAGCAAGACCTACAGTTTTTAATCATATAGATACAGTTTTTTTCAATAGTTATGCATCAAATTTGTTGACATTCTAAGATTTGAAGGGTAGAGAACAAAAGTTCTTAGCTTTTCTAAAAAGAAAAGAAAGAACTTCACTGGTGATAAAAAAATACTCGGTTATATAGATAGCATTAATGTTTAAGCCAGCTGTAATTTCACCATTTACGTACAATTTTCAAAAGTAAAAATTAAAGTAATTAATGCACTGAAGGAGATGGGATGAGATAATGAACGTGTCAGTTGAGTTAGATTTTCATAGACGACTTAATCATAGACGACTTAATCATAGACAACTTACTTTTACCGTAAAACCATAGACGTGCAAACAAAAAGGACATGTGGATGGACCTTCGTATTGATTACGATGAAGGGGACTTGTGGACTTTCATCTTTATAAATTTAAATTTCTCAATGGAAGCTAACTTCAATGAAGTTGCTTTCTAATGTGTAAGTATATTAAATTCAATTATGTATTTTGTTTTTTGTTCATCCAAATTCAATAATGTATTTCAACGTGCGCTGAGGGTGATGGGGATATCTTATTGCTTTCATCTTCAAGGGGATCCAAATTTCTCATTGGAAGCTTCAATGAAGTTGCCTCCTAAGTTCCTAACGTGTAGGTATACCAAATATTTCTTAATCAAAATCGAGGTAACCAATTAGTGGAGTGAGAAGGGGACTCTAAATTTTCAAGTTTACTATAGCGAATGAAAGTGCACTAATTCTAGTTTGTCTATACGTACATGGCATCCCCTCTAATATGAAAATGATAATTTAATAAATTAAAATATTTTGAATCATCTAATAAAGTGAATCATATGAGTTTGGTTAAAT